GAGAGAGAGAGAGAGAGAGAGAGAGAGAGAGAGAGAGAAAATATGAGTCCATAGTGAGACCCTGTAGACCCTTATTAAAATGCAAAAGAAAAAAAAAAGAAGAAAGAAAGAAAGGAGTGGAGACACAATCTAGGCAATGTGGGCCACAATCAGGTGCAGAGGCAGGCTCTCTTTCTTTAAATTGCAGGGCTACCAGTCCAGAGAGGGTCACACAGAACTAAGAGCAGAGACTGGCCCCAGGGACAGCAACCCTAGCACAACCTGCACTGGGAAAGAGCTTTTGGAAACAACTGTTCTTGGAAAGGTGACAGAGGGGCCAAAGAGGAAAAACTTCAGGAAAACCAAAAAGTTACACGAGACCAGAAGTCAATCCTACTGGACCATGTGGCTCTGCAGGGACCATTGAATAGAGTGTCATCCATGTGACAGCAGATCAACTGTCAGAAATATGGAGCGGTTGCCTTAGGAGAGAGACAGGCTGGCAGGTGTGGTGGTATACAACTGTAATTCCAGCACTTGGGAGGCTGAAGAGGCAGATGGCCACAGGTTTGAGGGCCAGCCTGGATCAGAGTGAGTTTAAGACCATCCTGAATTAAAGAGTGAGACCCTAGAGAGGGAGAGAGAAAGAGAGACAGAGACAGAGACAGAGTGATTACCAAAACCCAGGAAGAAACCAAAGCTAACCTAAATAGCTCTAGACCTATCCAAGCAATGAATTCCTAGCCAAGACCTTCCAGAGAAGGAATCTTCAGGCCCACTCAGATTCCTTGGTAAATTCTACCAAATATTTCAAGAATGGGTACACCAATTTCTTCCAGAAACTAGAAAGTTGACTTCATCAACAGAGTAAAGAGAAACTACAGGATCATAAGAACTGAGGTAGGAAAGATGTATGACAGAATTCAGCACCCATTCCCAGTACTCTGTCAAACTAGGGTGAGAAGGAAACTTGAACCACAAAACTGGTACCTGTACTCCACCCCTCTGACAAAACCCAAGGACATGGGCCAGGGAGACAATAGCTCATCAGGCATAAGCACCAGCCTGGCAAGTACAAGGTCCCAAGCTCAATCCCCAGTACTGGAAAAACAAAAGCAAAAACAAACAAACAAACAAACAAAAAACACATTCAGGGCCAGGGAGATGGCTCAGTGGAATAAGTGCTTTCCTGGCAAGCGCAAGGGCCTGAGTTCAGTCCCCAAGGCCAAATGCATAAATGACAGTAGAGTGGAAGGAATAAAACTGCTCCTATTCATAGACATGACTGTCTATGTAAAACCTGAGGAAACCTACCAAAAACATAAATCCCTAATGAGTGAGGCCCACCATATCACAAAATATAAAGTCAATTCAGAAAAGCCCACTGGCTCTCCATGTACTAGATATATACAACTAGGTATCTAAAAATATTTGAGGGCCGGGGAGATGGCTCAGTAGAATAAGTACTTCCCTGGCAAGAGCAAGGACCTGAGTTCAATCCCCGGTTCCGCAAACAACAACAACAACAACAACAACAACAACAA